TGCTTATTAGAACAGCATCTGGCACAATGTAAGTGTTAAGTAAATGTTAGCTATTATTACATATGTAAAAAGAGCTTGCGAAAGGTTAGACAGTACTAAGTGGTAACATAGAATTAGTATTCTTGTAGGGCATTGCTTCCCAAGAGGGTGGAGGGTCAATACACCCCTCTCCAACAGCAGTGCTGAAATTTATGGAGACATTTTAGAGGTCAAGGGGAGTACTGGTGGCATACTACTAGTATTTAGTGATAGGAGCCAGGGATTCTAGACATCTTGCAACATCTGAGGGAGTCCTTCAGATGTTGGAAAGCAAGATTTTACCAGATCCCAAAGGACAGCGCACACTCCTACCCATCTTTATCTGCAGCTGTGCATTGAAGGTGATTTTACACACAGGTAGCCTCTGCCTCCCTTGTTATGACCTGTTGTGTAGTTGTGCCATGCATTATCTACTGAAGCTTTGAAGGAATAATTGACTTTATTTCTCCATCATGTTAATATGAATAATATAATAATAGGACATTACATCGTATTTAAATTTTAAGTTAGAGTTTGGTTATATGATTTATGAAATTCATTTGATGATCATAAAAGGAGCATTGGAAAAAATAGTTATTGCAAGTGTGCTGGGTCTGAGTTGATGGGACTTGAGGTGACATAAGGCTTAGAGATGGCCTAACCCACTTCCTTAGCTTTCTACTGAAGAAAATCAAGGCCCAAAGAGACAAAGCATCTTGTAAAAAGAGTAACTGTTAGTTAAAAGACAACAAATAACTCGAGTTTCAAGACTAATTCTGGAGTTCTTGGTTATTCTTTAAGAATCTGTTGATCCTGTAAAAAGTAAGATTCTTTAAAGGTCAAATTTTTACTGAATCCTGAGATTTTTATGCTAGCCAAATCACTGCCCCTCCTTTGCACCCCATGTCCCTACCCTGACATCCCCACTTCCACCGCTGGAGAAAGTGATTGTGAAAGTGACATGTCAGATCATCTCAACAGCCAAGCATTAATGGGAGCAGTAGAGAGGGAGAAGATTTGGTGGAGAGGGTTAATGTCAATAATTGTCTCTGACTTTCTCCTTTTACTTTCCACTTTTTCTGGTTCAGTTCCAAAGGAGACTTTTGGATCCAGGGGTGATTCTGTCTGCCCCCTCAACCTCCATACCCCAATATGAGTCTTCCCAAACATTCTGCACTCCTCAATTTAGACAAAGTTATGGGAAAACTAATTTTTTATAGCTTTAGTTACAATAAGGTTGACACTTTTCAAAGTACACTTCTGTTATTAATCTAAGGGCAAAAAACCCTTACTGTGCCCACCCAGAGCTGCTAAAGCTGTTTATGTAGGTGTGCCCCCCAACACCATCCCCCCACCCAGTCCAGATCTAGAAGGTGCCATTCACATCACAGTCTATGTGCATGGTGCTCCCTGGAGTTAGGAGGTTCATAATCCACATGACTGCATGCAAGGTCTCTGTTCCCACTCACTAAAACGAAAAATGACTTCATGGTGTAAAGATTTTTGATATTTGCTTTGTTGACTATTTAGCTAAACGCTGACTTACCTGACACAGTGTATTCACTATTTTAAGTCTGAATTACAACTTAGTTTCCTTGCTGGCCATGTGTTCAAGTATGCAGGCCCTGCCAGACCCTCTTGATAACCAGACACTTGGTGAGTTAGGGTTTTAAGACTCAGTTCTCCTCCCCCACCCCCCGGCCTCCCTTTTGAGTATCCCACACAATTTCGGTTTCCAGCTCAGGGTTGGCCCAAGCACTTCAGCATCTTTGAGGAATGAGAAAGAACATCTTGAGCTCAATAACTGATGAAGCATTGACTATGTCGAGTACACAGTTCCACCTAGAAGCTCAGAGTATCAGTTTCACCTAGAGGTTACCGGTATGAGCTTTTAAGTCAGAGAGACCTGGAAGTCTCTTGACTATGTTGCTTTAAGCAAATAAACTATTCTCTGTAAATTTTAATTTCTTCATCAGCAAAAAGAACAATAGTGCAAGCCTCGTGGAGTTACTAGAAGTGTAATATGAACAAATAAATGCAAGTAAAGCTGAGCACATGCACGCTCAAGGGATGTTAGCTATTGTAATGACTCTCTGTCCCCAGAGGAATGGCCTCCTAATATTACAGTGTCATAGTACAAAATAAAGTAGGATAAAAATAAGAAATATAAACTCTAGTAAAGAAAAAGACAACAATTATCTCTCAGAAGAGGCAATTGCATCTTCATTTCACTTAAATCATAAAAGTAATCGCAGCAGGCATTTGATACATGCTTTTTTTTTCTCTTTTATTCTTAGAGTGCTCTTCCATACAGCAACCCTGTAATGTAAGCATGTCCAGCCAGCTTCTTTATTCCCATTTTGCAGAGGGAGACATTGAGGCTCAGGGAGGTTAAGATAATTCCGTGGCTGAATCTAAGACTAGAAGGCAGGCATTAAAATTTGCTGTTCAGCGGTTCATTTCACTGGGTGTCCCACAAGTAGAGGCAGTGACTCTCCACTAGGGGGCGTATGTCACGTAATGTGGGGGGGCCTATGGGGAGTGATTAAGGGACTACACTAATCTCCATTAGCGCCCCCTAAAATAAACAAACCAAAAAAAGCAATCTAATGAAAAAACAACAACAACAACAATAAAAACCAGTGTATTTTCCATATAAATAGATCTTTAAAACATCTCCCTTAGTCCTCTCGTCCAATGAAATTACATCTGCAAAGCCTTTCCTATGTAGAAATTCTGGAATCAAGACCGTGTTTCAGAATATGAGCAAGTAGGTGCGTGTTTTAAAAAGCCCTTCCAGTGATTCTGATAAGCCCCTTCAGCAGGGAATCTCTGTACTAGGCTAAGCTACGAATGAGAGGACGTCTGCTATTTGATTTGAAGGCATATGATCACTCCTGCCACATCTAGGACCAACACTTCGCCTCAGAGTAAGAGACACTCTTTTGAGTGGGGCCTCTACTTGCTTCTCTTAATAGCAGTCAATTTCTGAAAACTCAGGATGGAAATAAGACTGCTGCCCTAAGCCCACGTAATTCTTGTCTAGAAGGCCCAGAGGTGTTCCCGCAATGTGCTGCCTGCAACTCATGACAATGTATTGTGAAATGTCACGTTAGAGATTTTTACAAAACTCACTTTTCACGTGCTGCATCAATAAAGTCATATAAGTAGTTGATTGTTTTTTGTTGGTTTATTTTTAACTGTAGGGAGTCCCCTTTTCGTCTTCTTATTGGGTGAGAGATTTTTTTTTACCTCTTTGTGAAATCATTGTCATTAAAATGAAATCAAGAAAAAGAATAGAAGGGACATAATGAAGGGCAGTGCCTGAAATAAAAATGACCTGCCTTTGTCTCCCCTGATGTTTTACAGTAAATATTGCAGGCTGAACCAGTGTCCAGCAGTTTATAGTCTAAACCACACTTCCGCCAGATCCCACCTGTCCATTGTCACACAAACCAACGCACGCTGGAGTCAAGAAAACTTTTTTTCTGTTTACTTATGTTAATCATCAAGCCAAAGCAAATAGCCTGCCACTTTCTAGATCCAGGATAGCAATTAAATATGAAGACATCACGAGTCCTCTAGACAAATAAGAGGAGGGAAAAACCTCCCTATTCTAGGTCAGGAAGTAGGCAAGAGGTTATATCTGCTGTCGCATATTACAAAGTTTGTTTCCCAACTTTGAACTTTCTCAGTTTCACATGCCAGCACCACCATTGAACAGAAAATTGACTGAAGTCCTAACTTAGGACTTAAATTAACCACAACTTTACAAGGTCTCGGTAGAGCATGCTGTTTCAGTAGGTATGGGTTTATTTATTCATTCACTCAACAAGTCTGTCATGGAGCACCTAAGCTCAAGGGAGATGACCCATAACTCAATAATAAGACCCCAGACAGCTCAATCTACAGTGAGGAGGAAGCTGGGTAAATATATAAAATAATTACACAATATTAGTGCTGACAGAGGTATGTACCAAGCCTAAGGGGCAGAGAGGCAGATAACAAGGGAAAAATGCAGCGGTGGTGGGGAAGGAGAACCCATTATTGGCTTACTATTATACTTGACTGCCCTTCTCCCCACATGCCACCACATAACCACAAACGGGTACAAAAAGCACTACCTATTTTATTCACATTCCATAATTAGGGCACTATTCTCAAGAGAGTAGTTTTTAAGATGCCTCACAGGCAGGGGAAACTGTTTACAAATACAAAGTTGTTTTCACACCCCTCGGGAAAAATCCCCAGAAAATACAGGCATCAAAGCCACTTCGCCAGCTCTCCACCCAGAGCAACCTGGAATCCAGACTGACCGGCCAGACGCCTGGCAGCACAGGGAACTTTTGCATAAAGCCGCGACTCACTTCTCAGCCCTTGGCGTCACTCTCCAGCCATAACCTCAGTTTCCAATCTGAAAGGACGGAAGTGGAGAAGGGCGGCGGGAGTTTTCGCATTCAAACACTGCCATCCCTTCCTGGGGCCATGACCATTCAACCCTTTGAGCGGGGTTGCCCAGGCTTCTTGAAGAGGAAATTCTGACAAAGCACAAAACTTATCGGAGTTGCGATGACTCCGTGAGCTCGCTTTGTCAAGTGGATATGGTGATTCTCTGTCTGCACTTCATTTCCAGTTCCACCTCCCGGTCCCTGCACTACTACCCTTGGCTTATTCTGCGGATGAGAATGAGACGATGTGCACTTAGCATGCTACGCCGTGATTGGCACATAGTAGGTGTTCAAGACACCCTGCTGGCTTTGCCTTTTCACACACCTCTGCTGGGTCAGAGCCTGTAACGACTCTAGAGTGGGGACAAGTTACCCCCAGGTGGGTAAAAGTTGTCAAAACTCCACGCCACCCCCGACACCCGGGCTCCCCGGGGTGACAGCACGTGGGTGCGAGGTGCCAGCGGAGCAGCGCCGTGGGAGGGTGGGTGGGTGGGTGTGCGCGCCCGGCGCGCCCGCGCGGCGTTAACCCCTTACCTTCCAGCAGCACTTCCTTGCCGGCGCGCTTCAGCGCCTGCACCGCCTCGTCGTGGGTGGCGTCCCGCAGGTCGGCGCCGTTCACCGACAGGATGGCGTCGCCCACGTACAGGGCTTGGGTCTGGTCCGCCGCCAGCCCCTTGAAGATCTTGCTGATGAGGATGGGCATCTTGTTCTCCTTGCCTCCCTTGATGCTGATGCCCAGCCCGCCCAGCTCCTGCTTCAGCACCTTCACGCCACGCTTCTGGTTCGAGATGGACTCGGGCACCTGCTCCGGCAGGTCGGTGAAGGCGGTGCGGACCCCGGCAGGCGAGTCCGGGGGCTGCGCGCTGCCCGCGCCCGGGTGCCCGGTGCCCCTGCAGAACGAGCCATTGGTCCCGAGGCCGTTGTACGCCGCGGCGCCCTCCTCGCAGCTCAGAACCAGGGCGTCCTCGCTCAAGTTCACCAGAACTTTGTGCCAGCGATCCCGCACCAAAACTTCCAGCAGCCCGCTCCGCTGCGCCCGGCTGCCTCCCGCGCTGGGCAGCCCCGCCGCCGCCGCCGCCGCCGCCGCCGCCGCTACCGCCATCTTTCCGGCATTCTTAAAATGCCATGTGATTGCAAAAGGGGAGAAAAGTGGGGAAGGGTTGCGTGGGGGAGGCCGCGGGGCCCCGGGGGGAAAGGCGGCACGCGGGACTCCACTCCCGGAGTTCGCGGACGCGCTTGGCGCGAGTTGGCAGCCGCAGCCCAGCTGGGTTCCCCCCTCGCCTGATCCTGGGCGGGGTGGAGCAATCTAAAAGAAGGAGAGACAGAAACAGGGGAGGGGAGAGAAGAAAAAAAAAAGAAGAAGAAGAAGCCAGCTGCCAGTTGCAAAACCCCAAACCCAGGGCAGCCGCGGAACAGCGAAGCGCGGGGGAGAGCGGGTAGGAGGCGCGCTCGCAGCCAAGGGGAAGGGCGGGGACCCGCCGCTCACCTGTTCCAGCTGCCGCAGCCTCGGCGGTCACACGCGGCCCGCGGCCTCAGACCCTCCCCGCCTCCCTCCTCGGAGCTCCCGTCGCCTCAGGGACGGCTTCCCTAGCGCCTTCTCTCCACACCGCCCAGCACTCTCATCTTGACTCTCCCTTCCACGCGGGCTGTCACACTGCACCTTCGCTGGGTCTGGGTGTCCTGCCCTGGTCCCCTTACTGGGTGCTCCTGAGCCCCCATTCCCTTTCACTCACTCCGTTGAATTGTCTCTTAGTGCTACCCCCCAAGTTGTATCTAGAGCCACTCTAGCTTCCTCACACCAAGGGCTTGGCTTCTCCTGCTGAGTTCTTTCTTACCTGTCACCCCTTACCGCCAGGACTCACAGGTAGACTCAGACGGGAGGCCCGGAGTTCTCCGAGAGGATAGGGGAGGAGGCTGCCCCAAGAACCCAAAATGAAACAAACGTCAGCATAACCCAAGTGCCCCAAACTTCCTCTCTTTAAATGCAGGGCCTCTTTCTGCCAGGTCTCTGGAGAGGAGTTTGTGCTGGCAGGGTTTTCAGCAGGTTACTGCCTGCCCCAGACCCCAGCGACAAATGTTCTTCCAGCTCTTACACATTACATGCTCTATGCTTCTCAACCTATATATTTTTTCTCAAATGCTTCCTGGGTTTTTCTTTCCAAGATTTACTCTAAGAAGCCCACCATTTGGGAACTCAGTTGCAATGGGTTGTATCTCAAAAGTTCCTTTATAAGTGACTTACTTGGAGCTCAAGCTGTATTTGTCCCAGGGAACAATATTATAATTGTTGGTTACCTTCCCAGGTCAATCCGGAAATGCCAACAGAACCCATGTCATCGTCCTCCCAGAGTCCTCCTGGTCCTTGACATTCTCAAATTTTCCCCTCACCCTCAGCAGAACTGATGGGCCTCTCCAAGTATTTCACATTCTCACTTACCTCCCGTTTTCATCTTTTCCTCCCCTCTCTCCAAAAACAACTCAAAATCTATGAATTCCTAAAGGTAAACCCAATCCAGCAAGGTGTCAGGAGGAAAGAAATATTGAACACATTTCCACTGATGTGTATCATTGGAAGTTCTCTAACTCTTCTTGAATGACTCACACGTTTAATTGAGAAAGCTTTAAAACTCCAAGACACATCCCTAAAGGGTCGTTGGTATTCCAGGCAGGGTCACAGAATGAAATGAAAACATTCGGACATTTTTTTTTTTTTGAGGAGGAAAAGTCACTACAGACAGGCCACTGGGAACCCTTGGATTAATGCATCCAGTTGCAGTGTCCTCCTTTTCTTATTTTTAACCCACCAGCGTTCCAAAAGCTCTTTCATGTGAAGGTGCCATGGCAGGGACAGCAGCTGCTGTGAGCAGGGTCAGCCAGGGAGCTGACACAGGTGGTACCACTGTTAGGTGGGAAACCAACTGGGACTCCCCTCTGCTTTAGGGACTGAGGACTCATGCACATCACTCTTCAGGGAGATCAGAGCCTGAGTGTCTGCGTTCTAACCCAAGCACACTAAGGGGGAGAGAGGCATTAGAATGTCAGTATGATGATTTAGAAAGTAAAACAAATCTGCTCCTGGACAGATGCAAAATCCTCCATTTGCACCACACTTGTATCTTTTGCCTCTGTGGTCAAGCAAAATGGGAGGCCCAGGCATAACGAGAAATAATTTATCAGTCTGTCATAAGATATTGCAGGCTCTGCGGTGGGAATTGCTCAGAATCTCTGTAATAAGCATGTTTTTGTTTTTTGGTGTAAGCAAACCTCCACGGGAAGGAGTAGGTTGCTTGTTGAAAGTGGCATCAGAAAAAGGGGAGACAAGTATTTAATATCATTTGGCCTGAGGCATGCGTTGATAGCCAGAGATGGCTTTGTCCGTGGAATTATAATAACAGCCGCTATTCTACCCATGCTTTACACATACTAACTTAATCCTCCCAGGAATCTGGGGGATACTTATTATTATCATCACTCCCTTTTTCCAGGTGGAAAAGTGGAGATACTCATTTGAAAACTGTTTCATGTAGTACTAGTAAATTTCATGCCACTAGTAAATGGCAGTCAGGGTTTCAAGTCAGCTGTGAAGGGTCTGGACTCAACCATTGTCTCACACTCTTCTGACAATACTCCCAGCCTGTTAGCTACAGTGTCCATCTTGCCCTGAGGCCAGACTTTCCAAGGGGAGGCAAGTCCTGAGGGTGAAGGCCCTTCTCCTAGACGACAGCTTTCTGTCTGGCCCCTCCTTCTTTCCAAGGTTAGAGAACACCCTGCCCTTCTCTAATTGATGCATTTTTTTTATTATTATTCAGACATGTTACTGTGTTGAAACTGGCTACAGCTGTGGTCTTAAAGGCCTAGAAGCCCAGTCTTATCCCTCAGCTAGCTTGCTCTGCATCCCTGGCCTCTGATTATTAATGCTGACTCTCAAAGGTAAACCTTACTGACCTCATTTCTTAGTTCTGGGTGGGACTACTGCACTCCAGCCCCTTAATACTCGCACTCAGCACAGTTTATACTCTTCTCGGTCTCCTCTTAGAAAGAATGGCCACTGGAAAGGATCGAAGGGGCTTCCAGCTTTCTCATTTTAGAAGTATGGCCTTTGAAGCTCAGAGTAGAGCAGCGGCAGACCAGAGTCCAGCCACTTAGGGAGTGTGCAGCAAAACCACAACTGGGTTACCGTGACTAACAGCCTAACTTCAGTCTTCCAGGCATGACACCTGATTTCTTTTGCTTAGCTCCATCTCCTGTTTTGTTTCCTCCTTCTGTCCTAAACAGTTGACTTTTCATTTCCCAGCCAGCCAAAATTGGGGTCCTCTGGTGTGTGCCCCTTTCCCATGGGAGGTGCATTTCCCTACAGATGTTTGGATGGACTTAGACTTGCAAGAGCAGGTCGCAGAATCCTTAGCTCCACGTGAGTGAGCAGCAGCATGTGGCAGAAGGGACAGTGTTCATCGGTCCATTCCACAAAGTGTCATTGTGCATCTACTTCCATGTCCCAGGCACTGTTTTAGATGCTGTATATGGGAGCAGACATACTGGCAAAGAAGCGCCCTGTGAGGCTTATATGGTAGTGGGTGGGAGGGTGGAGGTGGAGAAAGACTGCAAACAAAGATGCTTTTGAGAATTAAATGCTGGGAAGAAAATAAAACAGAGTAATGGGATCAGGAGTGACTAGGGGCAAGGGATGTCTGCGGGTAATGGCTGTTGAGGAAAGCCTTTGTGAGAAGGTGACCTTGGGGCTGAGACATGGATAATAAGAAGAGGGGGGATCTTGCAAAGATCTAGGGAAGAGGATCCCAGGGAGAAGGAAGTGCCAATGCAAAGCACCTGAGACAGAACCAAGCTTGTCTGGTTCCAGGGACCAAAAGGAGGTCAGCATGGCTGGGGCAAGCCGTGGGAGGAAGAGAGAGGTAGGAGATCAGAGAGAGAGGTTGCACTGGATCACAGGTGGGGCCCTGGAGCATTGTGACACAGACCATCCTCCTTGTCTTCTATGAGCTTCAACAATCCTACATTTTGGATAGTCAGGGACAGTCTTGATTTCAAATGTTAGTTTCTATTACTGAGTAGACTTCTACTAGTTATGGCATGTGTTCCAAAGTTTAGGTTTGGAAAATACAATCATTGTACATTTGGCACTGTTTCCTAAGCAGTAGGTGGAGCATCTTTAGGGGGCTTATTCCCTATACAGGATGGATAGTGGATTCAAGGTCAATAGTGAAGAGGAAAAAAACGAAGACCTCCCGGATACCTGAGGGGAGATTAGAGAACAGACTGAGAAAGGAGCAGGAGGGGTGCTGGAAATGTAAAACTCCTGAGTCTTTATGTAAATACATACTGACTAAATGCTTATTGACTGCCTACTCCTATCAAATCTTCATGCTGGGTCAGTGATTCTTATTTTAAAGTCGAAGCACTGAGACTGAAGGTTGACACATGAGGAGAAGGCTGAGCAGCAGCACCCCAGTCGGCTAACAAGTACTTCATCAATTTTAAATGGGTTGGCAAACACCTCTATTGCATGTACCTGGCATTTACCTGGGCGGGTCCTTGGTAAACTTGATAGACCACCACCTATACTCTCAGCCAGCCAGTCCGTCAAGTGAGAGTTATTTGATTGCTCACTCTGTTTAGAATGTTTTTGCAGTGGGGACTTTTTCCAGCATCAGACTAGCCCAAGGTAGGATTGAAGGTGCTTAGATGTTTATGTACCACGTTCTCGTACTGAGTCGCACTCCCTTTGCTTCCCTTCCATGACAACCCGCTGTTGAAACAAACTTTATACCAGTCTTTTAATATCTATGATATAAAATGAAGTCACTTTTCCTATAGGTTTATACATTCGATCCGTTTTTAGAACTGTGGAATGCTAGGTGAGAGCCCGTGTTAAAGACATTGAACAAAATGCCTCTTTGAAGTCCTAGTAAGCAAGGCATCCCTCTACATTCTAGGAACTTTTGAGCAAGTTGCTCTAAATAGGGATACGAGCTGTCCTGGTGCGAGGGTGAAGAGGACTAAGAAATCAAAATTTCATGGGGGTGACTGGTTAGCTCAGTTGGTTAGAGCGTAGTGCTGATAACACCAATGGTTGCCAGTTCGATCCCCGCATGGGCCACTGTGAGCTGCCGCCCTCCCTAAAAAGAGTCAACGATGCCATTGTAGCATGAAAGCAATGTGTAACCAATGACCATGGCCGTTCCCCAATAAAATAATAAAAAAAAAACAAATTCTCTCATGCATATCTTTGACATAATATGAAATGAAATAGACATGAAATTTCAAGTAAATATTTCAGGATCTTGCTAAGCTACCCTTCAGATCCCAAAAGAGGTTGCTTGTTAACTTACTTTTGGAAACTTCAGAAGTAGAGGTCTAGATGTGAGGAAGACACTAACTCTTTTTCATGCCATCTCCACTTCCTTTATGGACTCATGCCTGTGTGCTCTCCCTTGATCCATGAGAAAATTCCTCCCATACTCTGCTTCACAACCTGATAACCCATTTTTGTTTATCACCCAATCTATTCCCTCCCACTGCAGCAGTTTTTGCCCAGATAATCTCGCCATAACTCTTTGTACTGAACCCTTAGTCCCTCAGTATAGCTATGTACAGATCCTATTTTATCCTAGATTGAGTTCTCACCTATCCCTTCTATTCCCTGACTCTAACTGAAACTTGCACTAGTTCCCAAATACATCTCCGGCCCTACTGCATTCTCTGGCAAGAACCTCACCCTCTGAGACTTCTCTGGAGGTCTCTTAAAGATCACACCAACAGTTTTGATGCCTCACAATTCTTGCAGATCATAGGATGTTTACAGTGTTCCATTTTTCATCATTTAGCAAACTCTAGCACTTCCTTCAAATTATGTTTTATCTTTTCCCCAAAACCTCTAACAATCTAGACATTTTTAGATGATTTAAGCTCCTGGCTCATGTTTTCCCTTTTCAATGCGTTCCCCCACTATCATCAGTCAGATGTGAGTCTTTTTAAGGAAACATCAATGTATTCTGCTTCTAATTGGGTTTGTGACTTGGAACTAGTCCCTTCACTTCTAGGCCTTAGTTGAGCCTGGGGTTTTTGTTCCAATTTGGTAGATTGGTAGGCAATAATAAGAATTAATGACCCAATTAGTAAATAAGTATCAGATGACTTTAGGTTTTAAAATCTGAACTTTAAATGTGAAGCTAAGGGAGCTTGTGCTAGTGGAGGACAAACCAAGCTTCATGAAAGAGGAAGGTTTTGAGCTGAGTCTTAAGGAAGTACAGACCTTGGAGAACGAGATAATAGGGAGCAAACATATCCTAGCAGGGGAAACAACTTGGCCAAAGCCGGAAGAAAGGGAGGCGCAGATTATCTTCATTGAGCAGTGGGTTTATCAGCTTAGATGGGGTTGGGAAAGAAGAAGTAAAACAAGGATCTGGTGAACAGAGTATTATTGGTCAGGATGCTTGGCTCCAGATGGTAGGACCCTAACTGACACTGAACACTAAGTGGGAAATGCATGAGCTCACATTACCATTCTGTGAAGGGCAAGAGAAAGGCTAGCCTCAAGTCCAGCTGGAATGGATACTAGCATACCCTGTTGTCTCAATTGCACAAGGTCACACCATGGCCACTGGGAGCTTCCAAGATCATGGTGCCCAGCATGGCTTCTAGGAAAGAAACAGCTCCTTCCTCCTCAGTTGGAGAAATATCCAAAGTAAGAAAGAGCTCAGATGGCTTAGCTTGGGTCACATATCTATCCTGGTGGCCATAGACAGATACCGTGAGAGGGCTAGGCCAGACCAAATTATAATAATCCACTACATATAGGTTGGAACCTATCCACCCAATTTGTGAAATTTATCCTAAAGGTAATGGGGAGCCACTGATTTTTTCATAATCAAGGGAGAGGTGTAGTAAAAAAAGAAAATGATACTGGGGAAGATACATCTTTTGACAGGCTAAGGAACGGGTTACTTGAGAAAGATTGAGGTGCCTTGGCATGATTTCCTGCGTACAATAAGAACGCAAGTCTTTGGGGGTACTGAAGACCGGAAAATAACTTAAGAAGATTGTTCAGTAGCCTGGGAAGGGATAATAAAGAATCTGTATTTGTGTGGACATAAAAGAGATGGTTTCAAGAAAGACTGAACAGATTGTGATAACTTCCTAGATAGAGAACTAGGAAGACGAGGAGAAGCCAATGAAGTAATAATTCACTTTTATGAAATCTTTGCGCTGTGTTAGGCCCTGTATGGAAGTAACATAGGTCATTGGTTACCAACTGAGACTATTTGACATAAGGAATGTCATCCCCATATGACAAAGGAGAATGTTGAGCTCAACAAGGTCACACTGATTACAAGCATTTGAGTTGG